TAGATCAGGGGAAGCTTCACAGAAAGGCTGCATTGGACCTGGCCTTTGAGAGATAGACAGATATTTATAGGCAGAGATGGAAGAAAAGGAAATTCCAGAAAGAAGCTACCATAAGCAAAGCTGAGCAGAGTTTCTCAAAGTTTAATGTGTACTAGATTCATGCTGGGGAATGATTAATCATAAATCCAAGACAGTTGTTTCCTTTGCAATGGGGACAAGGGAATGAATGTGATCAGGGAGTGATGAGTACATGTGAAATATTTCATAATATATTTTCAAAACTATATGATCCAGAGGTGCTGTGTAAAATTCATTTTAGCAGGCACTGGTGTACTCTGTAGCACTAAAGAATCTGCATTAGCAAACTTCCCAGACTCTGTGTGGTGGCTCACGCCTGTAATCCCAGTGCTTTGGAAGGCCAAAATGAGAGGATTGCTTAAGCCCAGGAGATCAGGGCCAGTCTATCTATGCAACATAGGGAGACCATGTTTTACAAAAAAATCAAAAATTAGCCAGACATAGATTACTTATGTACCTAATCCTGACTTGTATCCCACATCTCTATAATAAAGTAAAATAAAAAAATTAGCTGGGCATGGTCACAGCTGTGACTGTAGTCCTAGCTACTTGGGAGGCTGAGGTGGGAGGATCTCTTGAGCCCAGGAGTTTGAGGGTGTGGTGAATTGTGGTTGTGCCACTGCACTCCAACCTGCGTGACAGAGTCAGACCCTGACTCCAGAAAGAAAGAAAGAAGAAGAAGAAGAAAACAACATCCCAGGTAATTCTTATGCAGGTGATTCAGGGACCACTCTGAGAAAACACTGTGATAGCAATTATTTTCCATGGGGAAAAAGAAATATCAAGAGCATCAGTGCATAAAGCTCAGGACTAGGGGGCAGAAGCCCTGGACCATAGTCTCAGCTCTGCTCCAACTTGCTACATGAGTCCTTGTTAGTAAGTTAACTTCCTTGAATACTATTTCCTAAATAGAAAATCACTTTTATAATCCTTGCTCAGCATGGTGAGGAAAAATAAAATGATGTCTGGTGAAACTTTGGAGGATTTTCCAAAAAATGCATGGTTTCCAGAGAATATATTCATTTTTGGAAACATAGCATCCTTCCTGGAATCAAGTTCTCAGTGATGTCGTTCCAGTGGCAACTTTTATTCAGTTTAAAGCAGGTAGCATTAGAACCTCACATGCAGGAAAGCACTGGTGCCTGGATGTGTTAAATGATGTTCCTTTAACAAAAATATGTCCAGGGCTGGGAAAAGGGAATACACATAGACATTAAAGTCACTGGGAGATTTTTCTAAATGTGCAGTCTTACACCTGTTGCTATGTGTGTGTAAGAATGGGAAAGGAGACTGAAGAGTTGGGGAGATCACATTTTCTAAGCACTCCTGGTGATTCTGATACATTCCCTGCTTTAGGAAGATTATTGGCCTCCCTTTCATAAACTGATCCAAGATCTTACAATTTTTTCCTGTCAAGAAATTCCTTATATTTACTTATCACTTATTTGTTCTTTGTTTAGCTTTCACTGACGATAGAGGATAACTCACAAGCATCTTGTACACGTATACACAAGGGGAAAGTGAACAATGGCCATGTTCTCAGGGACCTGGGGACCAGCTGTATAGCAACCTCAGCATCCCCAGGGTTGAAATAATCTCCTGGCCAGATGTTTCCTTCCCTGGTTGGAGCAGGGCATGAAGGTCCCAGTGGAAGGCTCTCTGGACCCTAAGCTTGTCCAGCTGGATCAGTTGCAGGTGGAGCAAATGGGACCCAAGGGCCCCATTGGGTCACCTTGCTGAGTATGAGTCAGGCAAGCAGCTCTTTATTTCTTCCTGTCTCTCCCACTTCCCACCACTCATCTCTGTGGGCAGCCGCCAGACCGGGGAACAAGAGTCAGGCAAGGGAGGGGGTAGTTCTTAATGGATACTCCATCTTTTCAGTGGTTTGGGGTCTGGCAGAAAGAAACCAGACCTAAAACAAATTGGGTCCTCCCCCTGAGGTATTTCGGTTAATGCACTAGCTGCCGAGAAGCAGCCAGGCCTCCAGCAACAAAATCAATTCCCCTAGGCTAAACAGCAAGCTTGAACTTAACCCCCAAAGCTCTTTCTCTTGTGTCTTTTATCCACAGGACTTAGAATGCTGCCCAGGCTTGGCTTCCTACCACTGGCAAAGCTCATCTCAGAGGGTCAGACCCAAGATCTCTAAAGAGCCTTGGGTAGTGGTCATGTACCAAGAGGTTTCCAAAAAATATGGCACATCCAAGTAGTTTTCACCATTCCTTTACATCCGACAGAACCTTGACAACCACCAGTCTCTAAAAAGGGGGTGAGAATGCCTCTTCTTTGGTTGGTGCTACAGATGGGGAAGCTGTGGAGGTTTAGCAATCTATTCCACTATCATTCCTGGCCCAAGAATAAACTTGGTAGCACACCCTAGGTCTTGACCCTTTCTAGTTCTACTGCCAAATGGCACTTTATTCTTACTTTAAAGACCCTCATCTACATGTAAACACTGTGACCATGTTCCTATGAGCAAGGGTCATGAGGAACACAGAATGTCAGAATCGTATGGTCATGAGAGCCATACTCATGGTTTTATTTCCTCTATATGACACCTGCCACTCAGTCAAGTTCTGCCCTGCCCAGTTTGTGAATGTTCAAGTCTGTATTACCTTCTCCCACCCCCCCCCTACAATTTCTTTTGAGCTTCTAGACCTAGTAGGTAAGGTCAACTAAAATGCATCATATGGAGAAATACAAGGGTTTGTAACAGTCTCAATTGTACCCCAAAGAGGAAGAAAGCTAGGAGAAGGAGCCACTATTATGCATGGATCCTGATGGAGGCTGTTGCTACTGGCCTTCTGATTCTTGCCAGTTAGCCCCTTTCTCCTCACTCTCTGTTGGAATCTCTTAGAAATGCAAGTAAGTCTAAGTTGTCACTCTCATGTCAGAAGAGAAGATAGCTCAGGGTGTTGACAGCCCTGCAATGGAAGGCTTGGAAAAAGAGGAAAGAATGTGCACTAACCTGGCTCTCACATATTCAAAGTATCCCAACATACACTACATATATTGCCTTTACTGTGCAGTCATCTTTTCTATAGTTACCGAACATCTGCTGTGTGCCAGGCACTGATCTGGGCCCCGAAGCTATAAACATGAATTGCAAGGACTACACCTCTCTCCTACCAGCCAAGTGTCTCTTCCTGAAATAATGTATCCATAGAAGTTCTGAGTTAACCCTATCATACCAAGAATACAAGTGAAAATTGAGCCTTAGACTCATTTGTGATCCCCACAGTGCTACAAAAGGGAGCTATGATCATTGGTTTAGATCAACCTTAGCATGTAGTTTGGTATCATAGTTTTCAAAGAGAAGAAACTAACCTAATTCTACTTTTCAGTGTGGATTAGAAAACTATTAGTGGCTAAATGGGAAAATTTAGAGATGGGAGAGTCTAAAATGGTAAAGAAGGAGAAAATCCAGAGATGTGGGAAGCTAGAATGGAATTTCAGGTTTAGAATTTTTACAGCAAGTCCAGCACAAGAGGGAACCAGAAACCATCACCTTAACTGGCATCACAAAAGGAACCCGATGTTTTTCATAAGCAGGTCAAGAAACCATGACACCCGGCTCAAGGTTTCTCAAACTTAGCATTATTGACATTTTGAGCTGGATATTTCTTTGTTGGGGGTGGGGGTTGTCTTCCTCTTGCACATTGTAGGATGTTTAGCAGCATCTCTCACCTTTACTCACAGGATGTCAGTAGCACTCTCCCAATTTATAATCCTTAAAATGTCTCCAGCCATTACTAAACATTACGAAATGTCCTCTGGAGGAAGGGCGATGCAAAAGTATTTCTAGTTGAGAACCACTACCTTAGTTCATCACTACCATCATATCTAAGGCCACCTGAATGTGGTCATTAGTGATAAAAAAGAAAATTCAAACCTGAGCTATATCACCAGGGGAAACACACAAAGTGAAGCACAGGGAAGCCCTGTCATTTGCCCACTATGGCCACAGAGCAACCTGGTGAAAGAACCAGAACTGGAATTCAAGTTTCCTGGTTCTAGTTACCTTCACTTTGATGCTAATGGAGGTAATAATGATGATGAATTGGATAATGATTCTAACACTCTGTAACAATAACTAACTTCAGCAGTAGGTTCTACAAGCACTTTTTCTCAGTGTCCCATTCAGGTTTTGCAAAATGGCTCAAATATTTACACACAAATTTGCCTGTCTTTCTAAACTTGTTTTTCCTTCTCAGATAGTTATTAAACTGCTCCCATTGCCTTCTTGCAGTCTACCACTTTTGCATTTTCCTCTTCCCTAGCCCACCCACACACTGCCAGCATCCCAGGTTATCTGCACTAAAATTTGGGGGAGTCAGAATGAGAGAAAGAACAAGTAAAGTGGAACAGACTCACAAGAAATCTGGGTAGACTGCTAATAGCTGCTAGACAGGGCTGGCCTTAAATGTAGGCCAAATAAGTAGTGATATACAATTTGGCTGGTACCTAGCATTTCACTTATAGAGATGTATTTCTTTGGTGAGTGCTGTTAGTAATTTGCATCTTTGTGTATGTGTTTATCAGCTTACTGTTCTCTGAGATAACTATCAGAGAGTAGGGCTCCTGGAGATCAAGTTTATATTGAAGTAGTACTATTAAAGTATATGCTACTACCCTGGAAAGGCAGGCTTAAACAATATTCTTAAATGGGTATCCTACAGGCAGAAAAAGGTGACAAAAATAGAGGCTAAACAACAGATATCAACTCTGCCTACTAGCCATATTTGCTATAAATAAAAACCCTATTGTAGTCTGCACTTTAGGGAGTCCTAGACTAGATATTTTAAATGGGATCTCATTCATAGATTTGGAAAAAAAAGAGGAGGTAAGAATGGATTTCCCCATAAGACCACACTCCCCACTGCCCCAAATCCCCCAAACCCACCCAATCCCAGAAACAGTCTTACCTCCCACAAACTGTGCTGCTCCCATGCAACGTCCCATCATTCTGGAGATGAGCTCCTCCATGCAGCAACCTAGGACAGCAGCCAGTGCCACCAGGAGCAGCAGAGCACAGCCAGCACCTGTCACCACAGTGCACATCTGCCAGGCCAGGCTTGGGATGGCATTGAAGCTGGCATAGCGCCCACACTCTTCCACCATGATCAGACTGTGTCCCTCTCCCCGCACAGGGTAATTGCACCTCCGGAATGTGCTGAATGACACTGGCTTCCCCAGCTGGGATCCAAAGAGCCAATAAGGCAGGAAGTAACTGGTAGAACTAGCCACAGCAGTAACAAGGGACAGGAAGGCCCAGAGGGTTCCCACCATGGTCAGGCTGCTCCTCATGATTGTAGGTTTCTCTGCAGAGATGGGGAGACAAGTTGGATCACAGCACCAAATGCAAAAAGTTACCACATAGGCCCCACCAGCCTATTCTTCATCCCGTTGACCAGTGCTGGGGCTATTATGTGCCACTTGGTCCTTGCTTCTGGATAAGATTATTATCTTGAGGATCATTTGGATCCCTGTGGGATTATGCTTTCCAGTACCTTTTTCATCTTCCCTTCCTTCTGAAACTTCTGATTCAGAGTTCTCTAATCCCTAGGCTGCAAAGGAGCAATGACAGAACTGAATTAATGACTGCTCTGCCAACTCAAATACACCCTGAGCAGACAACATTTAACTCGTGACACACCCCATGGAACAAGTGACAAGAAGAAATTCTGAATGAAAGCAAGGCTACTCCACCCTCAGCCCCCCACCCCCACCGGGCTTCCAGCTGAATGGTCTTGCTGGCCTGGAGGACTGGAAGAAAGTAGTATCTATGTTTTTTTTTTTCTTTTTGAGTTGGAGTCTCACTCTGTCACCCAGTCTGGAGTGCAGTGGCATGTTCAGGACCACTGCAGCCTCGACCAGCTTGGCTTAGGTGATCCTTCTGCCTTAGCCTTCCAAGTAGCTGGAACCACAGGATACGCCACCATGCCCAGCTAATTTTTTGATTTATTGTAGAGACGAGGTCTCACCATGTTGCTCAGGCTGGTTTTGAACCCCTGAGCTCCAGTAATCTCACCTTTGTCTCCCAAAGTGCTAGGATTACATTACAGGCATGAGCCACTGTGCTCAGCAGAAGGTAGTATCTAAAAGAAGGTCAGAAATAAAGTTGTTCTCAGAGAGTGAAGGAGGAAGAAAGATAACTCAACAGTATCTGTCCCTTCAATAAGGTAAGAGGGAAGGGAAGCTCACTATGGAGTTACAGGAGGTTCCCATTTGACTTTGGTAGGATGCCTAACAGTGTGTTAGTGTAGGCTTTACAACTGTGTTGAAATGGGTAAAGTAAAACAAGGGATACCTAGTCTTGTACCCTATACCTGTCTCTGAGAGAGCACTGACCAGTCACTTTTCTCTCAGTTGAAATGGGAGGCAACTTTCCAACCAGTGGGGTTAACTCTAGACTAGCTACTAAGAAAAGTCTCCTTGTCTTTTGTTGGATATAGTCAGTAAAGTTTCCCAGGATGGACACTGGCTCACGCCTGTAATCCCAGAACTTTGGGAGGCTGAGGGCGGAAAATTGCTTGAGCCTAGGCATTCAATATTAGCCTAGGCAACATAGTGAGACTTTGTCTCTACAAAAAATCAAAAAATTAACTGAGCATAGTGACACAGGCCTATAGTCCCAACTACTTGGAGGACCGAGGTAGAAGGATCGCCTGAGCCCAGGGTTTGAAGCTGCAGTGAGCTGTGATCATGCCAGTACACTACAGTCTGGGCAACAGAGTGAGACTCTGATTCAAAAAAAATAAAAGAAAGGAAGAAAGGAAGAAAGGAAAAGAAAGGAAGGAAGGAAGGAAGGAAGGAACGAAGAAGGAAAAAGAAAGAAAGAAAAAGAAAGAGCCGGGCTCGGTGGCTCAGCCTGTAATCCCGCGCCTTTGGGAGGCTGAGGTGAGTGGATTGCCTGAGCCCACGGGTTCGAGATCCGCCTGGGCAGCGAGACCTCATCTCTACAATAAATAAAAAAAAAATCAGCTGGGCGTGGTAGCACGCGCCTGTAATTCCGGCTACTCGGAAGGCTGAGGCGGAAGGATCCCCTGAGCCCAGCAGGTCGAGGCTGCGGTGGCGGGGAGCGGCCACTGCACTCCAGTCTGGGCGACAGAGTGAGACTCCAACTCGAAAAAAACAAAAAACGAAAGAAAGAAAGAAAAAACGAAAGAAAGAAAGAAAGAAAGAAAGAAAGAAAGAAAGAAAGAAAGAAAGAAAGAAAGAAAGAAAGAGCAAGCTTCTCATATAGCTGAAATATATCAGGATTAGACACTCCTTGCCTTACAGCAGGAATATATAGCTGTAAGGACCTTTCAAGGTCCCTTTGGAGCAAGTAATCTCAGATTCAAGACACTGAGAGTCTTTCCAGATCTGGTCCCCTCAGCCTAGCTCACAAATGGCTTTCACAGACCCCCTCTGTCAAAAATCAACCACTTCCCTCCCAACTCCATTAATCTGCCATTGCTTTCTGGCCTGTTTCTCTATTGGGGCGGCTAGAGACCACACTGAAACTTGATGACAGCACCTTGAATATCTCCAGCAGGCAGATGGTGGAGTATGTTTCAGAAACTATTTCTGTGATTCATCATCATTGCTTAAAGTTACAGGTTTGGGGTGTGGGGGATGAGAAAAGAGGTGGAGGACTTAAAGCAGGAATGCGTAGGAATTGGTTGTATAGGGTCACCACATTGACAGTTGGGGACACTGGAAGGAGCAAAAAGGAGTTGTACTCTGGGTTTCAATGTCCCAGCCATAAGCCCTTCCACAATCATCATCAAACAGTGCCTGGCACAGAGTAGAAACTCCTAGTCATGTTTGTTTAATGAAACTCCTTTCATAGAATCATCCAATTTCCAGATTGGCAGAGACCTTAATGCATCACCTAATCCAACCTTCTTGTTTTACATATGGGGGAGTTTGACCCAGTAAAGGAGGAAGTGATTTCCCCCTAACCATAGACTAGGTTAGCAAGTTGCAACACCAGAACCAGAAACCTGATCTACAGATTCCTAGGTCAGTACTTTTCTACCACATAGTGTTAACCGACTCCCTCTCCCATTACTTTACAGATGATAATATGAAGAGGAAGTGATTTACCCAAGGGTAAAGGGCTAGTGAGGTCTGCTGGCCAAACCAGAGCCCAGTTATTAGATTCTTAGTATAAATGCTCTTTTTTCACTCCACTGCAATTCCCCTCTTGATACATATGTATTTTGTGCTATGTGTTTTGTGTAGGAAGGGAGCAGCAACCGTAAATTGCAGGTGCTTTCTTTGGAATGTTAGGGCTTGGGAAGAAAGTGCCCTGAGTTGGGCCCCTGAGAATCGGGCTTTGTGCCTGAGAATAGTAGTGGGAGGGGGGAGAAGAGAGAGAGAAAGACGTGATGAGGGATTGAAGGCCAACAGGGAGAGAAGTGGAACTAGTTTTGAGTAATTGCTGTTAGAAAGCAGGTATGTTTGGCCACAGTGAGGTAATGTTTCTGCTTGTTATATTAGAGTTTGGAAGATTATGAAACATGCACACAGCCCTCTGTTATGGACTAATTTCCTGATGAAGAAGCCTGGGCCAGAGGAGGAAAGGAAGCAGGCTGACAAACAGATGCTGGCTGCATCATTATGACCCCTTCCAAATCTGTTATTTCAGTGCTCTGCCCATCAGTCTTCTTAGGTTGGTAGGAAAGATACCCCCAATTTACAAGTGAGCAAACTGAGTTCCAGAAAGCCAAGTGACTTGCCTAAGGGGACATGGTAATTTAGTGGCAAAGTTATAATTTTCCACTTCTCCTTCACCTGTAGCCTTCTCCCATAGTATTACTCCAAGAATATTACAATTAAAAGCCTCTGTGGCTTCCCATACAGAATTTTAAAAAATGCTTAATGATGGGATTTCAGGGGAAGATAGGGAAGGTAGGAGAAAAGACAGTTTCTTCATAGTGTGTAAGCCATCAGAACAAGAGCATTCACTGTTTCAAGCTCAGCACTTATAGACAGAACAAATCTGCATGTCACCCATGGACATCATCATCGTAAGATCAAAAGTCTCAGTATGACAACCAGTAGGAGGAGCAGAGAACTTAAGGCAGAAGAAGGAACTGTATCAGTGAGTGGTACCCAGACTATAGTAGAAATCAAAGGAGAGGTTCTGATATAAGGTTGTCCTCATCTGTGACAAACAAGGATGTTAAATAAACTATAATACTACTGTTGTCATGATTTCATTTTAAATTTTTTTTTTAGTTTTTGGTTTTTTTAGAGTTTTGGGGTACATGTGAGGATTTACTACATAAGTAAATTGCATGCAAGTGACATTTGGGCTTCTAGAAAGCCCCGTCTCCTCCTAGTAGTGGACCTAGTACCCAGTGTGTAGTTGTATGCCCCTTATCCCTCCTTCCTCCTGCCCTTCTTTACCAATGTCCAGAGTCTTTTGTTCCCACCTTTGTGTTCTCATGTTCAGTGATCAGGGCCTGCTTATGCATGAAATTATGTTCTACACAGTCATAAAGAAGAACATAATTCCATGTTTAAAGTGAAAATTTGAAAGCTATGATGTAGGAAGACAGATTCTAAAATTTTAGTTTAAATGTGTTTAGCTTTAGAAAAACTCATTGTCCTTCAGAATTTAGATGAAGTACCTCCAAATTTAGGAAAAACTCATTGTCTTTATTTCATTCAGGACAAGGGTGACCAACCATGCCAGTGTTCCTGGGACTTAAGGGTTTCCTGGAATGTGGGACTTTCAGTGATAAATTCATGAAATTCCCAAGCAACCTTGGATGAGGTGGTCATTCTATTTAGGCCAAAATGTTGTAAGCCAGCCCCATCCATGGACAACAAGTAGAGATTCACTGCCACAGATAATGCTCTAATATTCTCTTTCCAGGATACAAATAATATTAAGTTGAAAGTGACCATGAAATTAAACACTGAAGAGATGAAGCATATATACTTTGAATATAAACATTTCTAAATCATAGACTTGACCTTATACAGTCAAGGAAGAAATCTCAGAGATCCAATTGCTTAATAGTTTCTGAGCACAAAATGAGTCCCAGCCCAGCTTCTCCTGTGGCTGGATAGGTAGACAGCAGGGCACATGGAATCTGTGTGCACACACTGCTTCATGTTCACATGTACTGGACAGGGGAATGAGTTCTAACAAATGCTTTTATTTATATCATCTGCAATGGAGTAATATCCTTTATGACAGCTCTCCAAAGCAATCCAAGTTCATTTCCAGAAACTAAGTCACTATGTATTCACATAAATAAAAGGCACAAACAATGCTATAAATCTATCTTAATTCTTCTTGTATACTTAATGTATACAATAGCTTTGTTTCCCTGTCCTGAAATGTCTAGGAACCAAAAACTCACCCTGGTGCTCCTGCTGAGTGGTTCAGTAACTAGGCATTGATAGGATCGCAGTTTAACCTCTCTCTTTAAGATGTCACATTGTTCCTCATCCTTCGGTTTCTTCATCTGCTAGATGGGTCACATGCCTGTTTCTGAGAGTAGTTGTATGAGACGCAGTGAATGTGGTCAGAAAGTTGTGATAACTAGGATAAAGAATGTGGTATGTTCTGAATTTGCTGCCCTTACTAAAACCTGATGTTCACTCATCTTTACAGATATGCTAATCATTCTAGTACAGCCTCATGAGTAGAGGTCATCTCAATCTATATGACATAAGAAACCTGCCTAAGCCATATATAGCAAATGGTTATCTCTACTACTTTTAGAGAACTCCAGGAAAAAGAAATCTATAATTTTTCTCAGTAGTTTAACAACTTTCACTGTCAATAAATCGTTTGTTGTATGCCTTTATAAATCTTTGCTGCTGCAACCTAAGGCCAGTTTCTTTTGTTAGATCCTCAGGGGAAAAGGAGATCAGCTGGCCACTGCCCTCCAGATGAGAGCTCTTTATCAACTGATTGCTGGTAGGATATCTTTAGCTTTTTTCGGCTCAAAACAAGCATTCTCCCTCTCCCTCAGGTGTCTCATTGCCAAACCTTTAATTATTTGTTCATACGTTTTCACTCTCCTGTATACTTACTTATATGTGAGCACTTACAATAAGTATCAATGAAACTGGAAACACTGCCCTTATATTTTTCTTGGTGGAGAAAAACAAACCAACTTCTTCCTCTATCATCTCCTCCCCAACCCCACAGAAAAAGACAAAAATTATTTTGTTTCCATATGAGCTTGTCATGCAACTTCTGAGTAAATGAAAGTACCACCTTACCAAGGGTAACAGGGTCCAAGAAAAACAGCCAGAGACTTAAAGACCAGAACACAAAGTGGCCACAAAGGAAGTCAGTGACTTGCAGCTGCTGAGGAAAGCATGGCTGCAAGACTGCCCATTTAGGGCTGGTCTGTGAGGAGCAGCTTTCTTGGCACTGGTGTTGGCAAAGGAATGTGAACAGCCCTTTCTCCTCACGCCCCCAGACAGTGTGCATTGTCTTCCTGCCAATGTTATTACAAATACATTTTACTCAGTGTTGGGACTTTCCTAGGAGATGAGTGAGATATGCAGGCGTATGTTTCCAGTGGGCAAACAGAGTCCTGCTCCAGAGAAATGCCTTGAACCAATGTGACCCCTTGTATCAAGATGGATATATAAATAGCCTGACCATTCTAGATCTTTCTGCTTCAGACACAGTGTCAAAACAAACAAGCAAAACAAAACAAAAGCTATTATCACTCCTCAAATATGTCTCTCCTCATTTTCTGCCACCTGTTTCCCTCAGAAATTTCTTTTCCTCTGGAAATCTCCATGATAGAAATTGCTGCAGCTTCTCCTGCACCTGAAATTGTCTCATGATGTAGTCACTCAAAGGGCTTTATCTTCCATTTGTATCTCAGTGACACTAAGAAGTCCTCACTTTTGACATTTCTTTTTCAAATTCCTCAACTGACTTGTTTCAAATAGCTCAGTTGGCTGAACCTCTATCTAAGCCTTCTCTCTCTTTCCCTCCTCTCTTAGATTTTGGTAGAAAGACTAGTAAAACTCTGTGTTGGGTTAGTTTATGTATTTGCATCTCTCCATCCTGAGGTGGAGATGCTCACAAGAAAGTGAGGCATTAAAAGGCAGAAAGCCAGAGACTAAGTAGAAAGAGAGGCCCAACTGAGCAATTGATAACCTAGAAATAGTCAACTCTAAATAACAGAGTTAACCACACAGAGACAGAAAGAGCTTATAAAAAAGAGCCTCCACATCAGTTCCTGGGCTATTCTCTTTCTCCAGAGTTTGAGATTGGAAAGGTGGGAATTAGAATTATATTCCCAAATTTCATGTGAGTTTCTCCTTCATTCCCCACAAAAATGCTGCTCACTGAGCTTCCCATCTGTTTTACGCTTTGGGAAGTGGGGGGTGCCAACTAGAGACCTTCATCTCAGTTCTTACTCTGGCTAGACAGGTGTCACCACCGTCAGTGGCCAATTGGATGGCTAGGAGTCCTATCTCACACCCTCAGCCAGTTAGAAACTGCCCTGACAAGATACTAAGTCCTATCAACATAGGGCTAACTGGTAAAGCATCCCCTCAAAGCTCTTAGGTTCATAGCCCTGGCACTGCTATTGTTTCTCAATAGTCCCTCTACTCCATGGCATCAGCTGGGTATAAAATGCCACAATGACTGACCACCTCCTCTGAGTGAATCTGACCAGTGTAGGAAGAAGGTGGGCTGGTTGCTTCTCCAATCATTTCAGAGGAGCTGGGAGGCAGCACAGTATATCAAGAATGTTTCTCAAAGTAAGACTCTAACCCCCGCTATGTCAGAGTCACCTTCAATGGTTGTTCAAAATGCAGAATATGACTCTCCCAGATTCACTGAATTCAATTTATGGAAATCTGCATTTTAAATAATCCTCAATTGATTCTGATGAGAACTAATGATTGAGGAATACTGTTTTAGTAAAAAAAAAAAAAAAAATGCCAAGATGATTTTGGAATCAGATTCCAGATAGGGTCCTGAGGTTTGCCCCTTGCAAGATATATGAACTTGAGAAGATCACTTAAAACCTCTGAGTTTCACTTTCAGCTGTAAAATGGAAAGGATGGAGCATAAAGTTCAAATGAAACAACGTCTATGCTATACCTAATGGCAGGGTTGTTATCAATTCTCGCCCTCTCTGAGAAGATTCCATTCTCTCATAAGTGATAGAGAAGACTTGAAGCTACACAAAAAGTAGAGAATCAATCCTCTCCTCTCTCTCCCCAAAACCACTCTACTGTTGAGTTCTCCTTGTCCCTAGGATGTGTTTTGCTTTCAGTTTCCCACCAGAAAATGAAACCACTTGGCAGAGTGTTCTTTGCAATAATGGATTTATGGTTAAACTATGTTAGGTGCTTCTGGAAATCATCATGCTTTGGCACATAGTAGGAACTCATAAATATTTACTGAATGAATGCAACCTTTTTTCCAGCTTCACTGGCTTCAACATCTGCATTTCAGTTTAACCTCAGCACCCCATTTCAGTCCTCTAATTCCTTAGATCTAGGCAAGTCTAAGAGACCAACTACATCAGCAGACCGGATCCATTTTTATTTGTATAGACAGGTCAGAACAAAATCCCTCCCTCCACTCCCAGAGACAAGCACTTCCTCTACTCAGATTACCAACTCTCCTGGGGAGAGCAACTTGCACTTAACCCTTGAGCCCTCAAATCTTGTCACTATGAAATAGGAATTCAGCCCTGATTTCTCTTAGTCTCTGTGCAAACAATGGACTATGAGGAAGTAAAAATGCACCAGGCCGCCCTTGGGAAGAAAACAGCTTCTCTGAGCTTTGAGATGAAAGGACAGGAAGCCTGAGAAGGAAGGGGAGAAGGGGGGCTGAGGAGGGGAGAGCAAAGCAGTTTCTTATCCAGCTGTTTCAATTGCATTTGGCCCAAGTTGCATATTTACCTTCTGACCACGAAGGCTGACTGACTTGTTCCCACTCTTCGGGCTCAGATCTGAGAAACAACTCCTCGCAGCTTGTCAGACAGGGATGGGAATCCCAGCTGCTCTTTGCAGTGATGCCTGAAAACCTTGCTTTACCTTTGGGAGAGAGGGGCGGAGTCCAACCTAATGGGAATTAACTCCAAACACGCTGGAGGCTTCAAGTCCAGCCTCAGACAAACAGGCACTTGAAGTAGAAGGTCGCTTAGTGGGCACAAAGTCCCCCACCTCCAACCTCACAACTGACAAGTCAGCTGTGTGTGTGTGTGTGTGTGTGTGTGTGTGTGTGTGTGTGCATGCGCAAGCCTGCTTTTATCTATCTCACTTCCTTGCCTGCTGCCCAAATGTCTGCTGAGGACCAGATTCTTCCTAACTTTCTTCCAAAGCCCTAAATCTCCAACATATGCTAGGTAGAAAAACTATGTGACTGGAAATGACTGAGAGAACACACGCCTAAACGGAGTAAGACAGAACAACCTTCTTTTCCCCAAAACTGATTTCCACTGTATAATTGGACAGATGCTGCAGCAGAACAATCTTTGACTCCAAGATGTAACAAGCGTACATTTAGGAAACTGTTAAAATCACACATAGAAAAGGATAACTAATACCTTTTGCATAATAACAGTGCTACCAAAAGTCAGTATCTAATTTACAAAGCACCAATAACTGCTTTTCTGGTTGGGAAAAATGCTGAGAGGTCTGGAGATGAATGGAGCTTTGCCTGATGCTCTGCTTCAACCTGTTGTCATCTTACCCACCAATGAATGTCCCTGGCATTTCAGATTTATTTGGGGAAACTTACAACCTTCTACCTTGTATTAGATTTTTTGTTTTGTTTTACATGTGTGTCTCATTTCCCATTCTAGATGCCTTGTGACCAGGGAATTTTGCTGACCAAAATGAATTGGAAGGAGGAATGGTAACTAATAGCTTAACTTAACAGAACATGCTGGACTAATCCAAAGTATCTACACTTCTCTAATGACCCATTTACCTTCCCAAAATGCTATAAAGGTGATCAGGCTTGTTTTCCTGCTTTTTGTGCCAATAATGCAAATTATGAGAGTAAATTAACACTTTAATTGTACTCTGCTTCTTTAATGAAGTTACTAAAGTTTTTCCTGCCTGCGGTGTCTATAACCTGCATCCTGTCTTATATCAGTGATATAGCCTTATATTCATGTATGCAGTTGTCTATCAAGCTACTTTCTTTCTATCTGCAGTTTTTAGTCCTTTTTTTCTGCTCCCCACTATATTCATAAACCACATTTTCATCTGTAACCATGGCTTCCTGAGGCAGTTTCAGGGGGAAGAACAGATGACCCCTTAGATGAAATGTCAGACTTTTACCAGGGTGAGCTTCCCAGATATTTTTAATAATCTCCCAGCGTAGTCCCCTTAAGAATCACTGCTTCAGATAAAGGTCTATATATAATGAAATGCTAGCACCTTCTTCATTAAAGATAAGTCAATTTATTTTTAATTTTAGATTCAGGGGTACACATTCATTTTTGCTTTATAGACTTATTGTGTAGTGATGAGGATTGGGTCTCAAGTAAAAATAAGTCAATATTAACAGACACATAGTAACTGTGTGTGAGAGATGGTTGAAATTTTTGACATATGAAAAATAGTTGATTCCACTCCATGCACCAGCAAATATTGCCCTTTGTTTAGTGGCTAAAACTGTCATTTGGAGAACCTATCACTATTTGAAATTTTAAGAAGAGTACATTTTTATTTTCTCTTTTTAGCATCTTTTCCCTGTGCCTCCAGTTTCCTTAAGTGAAATAATATGGACATTTAAGTGTACACTAAATAATAATCTAATTTATTAGGCAGAATTTTATGTCCTGCTCTTAATTTAACAGTCGAAATCTCTTTCAGAAAAAAATTGCTTGTATCCTGTGGCTCTTGATATATTTCCAATTAAAGATGCTCTTCAGTCATGCTTCCATAAAATCATGTGGGAACATTTGAGGAGGGAACACTTCTTGTAATATATTTAGGGGATAGCATTTTAATTATGCTAAAAGGGATATTGTACAGAGAACCAGAGAATACCTAAGTTCTACCTTTGATGAATGTAGAATAAGAGATTCTGCAAAGATATTATACAAGTGACAGGTGATTCAGATATGTACCCCCATTACCATTACCATCCCTAGTTTGCCAAACACTGCTCTATGTAGGAGCATTTCCCAGACAAGATCAACAATCCCACAACATCTTGCAGTCTTGATAGGGGGTCAACAAGCCAGAGCCTGTGCATGCCAAATCCAGTGGACTCTTTGCTTTTGTAAGTTTTATTGACACACAACCACAACTTATTTATGTATCATCTATGGCTTCTTTCACACACAATTGCAGAGTTGAGTAGTTGAGTGACTGAGATCTTATGGTACAGAAAGTCTAAAATATTTACTATTTGGCTCTTTACAGAGAAAACATGTTCACCCCTGGTTAGACCCACACCAGTAGATTATATTGGAGACATTATTAACTGATAGAAGAAAGAGGTTGGGAAGGAGGGGGAAAGTTAAATAAAAGAAATGCTGCTTGCTTTCAGCTCGGTTAGGGAGCTGGTTCACCCTCACTAGTTCTTTAAAATCTCCTGCTTGTGAGTTAACAACAGACTGGAGTCCAATATAAGCCAAATATTTGGTAGTCTTGTGAAAAAGTATTTTTCTGTTAACTATACTTTGAACTTGTATTGGTGTTGCTTTCTAATATATTTTAAAGTTTTTTAATCTTTTATCAAAGCTTCTTCTTTGAAGACTAACTGCCAACTTTTGCTTTTGATTTTATAAAGTATCTTATTAATATGAATGAATGTATGTTCTGCAAGACCCTGTTTATTGTTTTTTTCCCATAAGCATGGAATGTTTTTCCATTGGTTGGTGTCATCCTTTGGGCCCATTTATCTTAAACGTCATTTCTAGAGTTCTAGTGCCTTTGAACTTTAGGAAGTTTGCATGTAAGTGCTTGCAATTTAAAACCATATAGACTCCGTGACCTGTAACCCATCCAGGTTGAATATGGAAAGTATTCCTTACCTATACTATAGTTTAAGTCCTAGATTGAAAAATTAGAGATGAAACTTTAGTGTATAAGACTCAGAACCAACAACTCTTGTCGAGTTGCCTTATTGATCTCAGAGGATGAACTGATAATATTAGTGATGAAGTGTGCTAGTTAATGTGTATTAACTGGAGAACAGAGGCAAGAGAATCTTGGTTTGTGGTATTTGCTGATTCCCATAGTGTAAATATTCCCACCATGGCCAATTTCAAGCTACCACCTTGACGTCAATAAAAGTGTAATTGAAAAGAGAAGTGCACAATCGATTCTCACAAGCTACTGCAAGCCTGTTCTAGCACATCACTGGAACTCTGTTTCAAGGAATTGCTTCAGCTTTGGTCTCTATAACTTTATAAGCTACATACAATATTAGCCAAAATTGGGTTGCTATCATAGTTGTTTCATATGTTACACATAGGCTTCTCCCTACTACACAATATGTTTCAAAATATATTTTAAAATACATTTCAAACATATTTTGCTGCACCAACTCTTAAGCTTTTCTAGTGCAATTTGTGTATTACTCAGAAGTAAACCAAAAATAAATTGCTCATGGATTTCAGTGCCTGCTCTAACAGCCTTTGAGGGAGGATTTTTATTATATTTATAGTAGGTGGAAATAAACCAGATTGCAAATTCTTTTTTAACTAAAATCATGTACCAAGTTTTTGGTCCAAACTGTATAGGGTAAGTTAAGCTAAATTGCATTTTATTAACCATTATGAGTATCTTCATGTAAGTACATTTATATTGAAATAAACATAAAATAAACAGATTCAGGAAGATAAAGAGTAGATTGGTGGTTACTAATGGCTAGGAAAGGTGAGGTGGATAGATAAAGAGAGATTGATTAATGGGTGCAAATATACAGTTAGAATAAATAAGACGTAGTGCTTGATAAATCACTAGGGTGACTCTAGTTGACATTAATTTATTGTACATTTCAAAATAGCTAGAAGAGAATAATTTGAGTGTTTTTAGCATGTAGAGAAGATAAATATTTAAGGTGATAGATATTTCAGTTACCCTAATTTTATCTTTACACATTATATGAATATATCACATTATCATATATACCCTGAAAATATGTACATCTATTATATACCAATAAAAAAACAGATTTACAGAAAATTTTCATCAAGATGTTAAATTAAAGTCTTTAAATGTGCTAGATACCAGAATTCTATATACTCTTTGGCCCCTGCATTCATGGTACCCCAGTGCTGAACTAATTATGATATTGATTTGCCTAGGAATGGAAAGTTCACTCTCTCATGCTCCAGTCCAAGGAGTTTTGAGTAGACTTTTATTCTTAAAGTAGTGTCCTATATGATGGCCTGGAATGCTTAAAGAACAAATTGTCTCCCACCATTCTCAACAGTATTTCCTCTGTCATTCTTCCCCATCCCACTTCTCTTACCACAAAGACTTTTGTGTCTTTTGAAGCCTATCTAACACCAACATCTCTCTTTTCTCAGTCAGCCAAACCACGTGGGGTAGTGGCTATTGGTAGCATAACTGATCTTCCAAACCACCCCAATTAATTTCCCAGAGAATTTTTTTTCTAAAACAGAGTTTTACAAAATCCAATGAAATAGGAGAAGCAATATTCCAGAAACAAGAAATCATTATTCTTGTCTCTGTCTCCTAAAGTAAGTCATGGAACTTTGTCAATTCATTCATGAAAACTTTGGTTTCTAGGCATCTAGTTGGTTATTACAGCATAACAACACTTTCCTGGCTCTGCTGAATGTTGTAGCCAGCCAGGCTGCTGCAAAAGACCTGGACAACTACACCACAGGTGGACATCAAAAGCACTAAAAGAATGAGAGTATCTTCTGCCATTTTAGTGCTGACTTAGAAGCTAAAGGAAAAGTGATGGTTACAAGACAATTGAAAATTGCTCAAGAAATGAGATAAGGACCTCAGGAAATATACAACAATCTTTACCACAGGGTCATAATCCGTTAGGGCCAGTGGCAAGCCAGACTACTTACCCACAAAGATTCCACGAAGCAACAGCTACAAGAAGCAAAGATTATACAATAAGAAAAATCCTACTCTATAAATCTCAGCTTTGTTCTCCAGGTAAATATATGGGTGCACATTTGAACATTTGAACATTTGCCTAGTAATCTGCAATATAAACCATATTTTCTTGATAGTAATGAGTAAAACAATTGACAGCCAAAAATCT